CTGATACTTCAATCTTCTCAATAATATATTTACTTGTTAACCTTCTGGCTGCTTAGTTACAACGGACTTTCTTGTAGCTGGTACATCAGATTACAGATATATTTCTTTGTTATCCATCTAACTGCTTTGTTATCTTGTATCTTCATGTAGGGTACTTCTATTATTGTCTGTCCTCCGATGTTTCAAGTAATTTTTCCGTACTTCGGATGGTTTGGAACATTTTGTTTGATGGGGAGTATTTCGTTTATTGGTAGGTTATGATAGTTTGTATGGAATAAATTAACAAAAAATTTTGTTCATCTTTACTGTTCAGAGAATGTCTGATTTCATAACGTTTTGGTAATGACCTTGAAGATATGAAATATGTGGCATTTAATCCAAAAATAATTTGACTTCATTAAATTTATTTACTTTTAGTACTGTTGAAGTATAATTTATTTAAAATAACCACTACATTTATTATTATAGCGATATAAAATAACTGAATATATTTTAAAATACAGTAAAGATGAACACAATTTATTGTTAATTTATTCCATACAAACTATCATAACTTACCAATAAATGTCATACTCCCCATCAAACAAAATGCTCCAAACCATCCGAAGTACGGAATAATTACTTGAAACATCGGAGGCCAGATAATAACAGAAGTACCCTACATGAAGATACAAGATAACTAAGCAGTTAGATGGATAACAAATAAATATATCTGTAATCTGATGTACCAGCTACAAGAAAGTCCGTTGTAACTAAGCAGCCAGAAGGTTAACAAGTCAATATATTATTGAGAAGATTGAAGTATCAGCTAGAAGAATATATATATATATGATCACTTAGCATTAGATGGTTATTAAGTAAAAATATTAGTAGGCTAAAGTAATGGCCAGAAGGAAATACACACTCACTCAGAAGTTAGATGTTTCAAGAATAAAGATATAGCTCTTTCTATATATATTTAGACTGAAGTATCAAACAGAAGAAATTATATGGTCACTGAGCAGTTAAATGTCTATCAAAAATATCAAGAAGATTGAAGTAACTCTCAGGATTTAAAAGATACTATGCAGATGAAGTTATTCTGCTCGTTGCTTGAATAATAATTTTTGGCATTATTAAAAATACGGATAAATCTTGTAGTTTGTTATTGAGTTAAACGTACACAGTATCATATTTATTACTTACTGCTACAAAGTAGATCATTCCATAAATCATAGCTGTGTGTTTCTTCCCAAATACTTCAACAACAGTGGCAGGAATGCACACTAGCTCAACAGGAAACGTAGCATATAGTCCACAAATCCAGATTATGAACATCATTTTTCCACCGTGAGGTGTCGCCACTAGTGTATACAGTAGTATTGTCTTCAGTCCCATGAAAATCAAGCTTGTTGACTACATATTTTAGAAAAAGCATAAACTGAACTTGATTTTAATTGTTTGGAAATTAGAAAACAAATAAACAATATACAATTAGTAAAAGGAGAATTAATCTACAAACATTACGAGATTGTATTTGGCCATTGTTCGCTGTATTACAAATGAAACACAGAATGTTTTCTTAAGAAAAACTAAAAACGACTGGCAATGATTCGAATGATAACTTCACAGTTATAAATGCTTCGTCTCTAGCTCTGAAGAAATTCAAAAAATATCTTAATTAATTAGTTAACTTACAGACGAAAAAAGAACAAAAGAAATGGCCGGACAAAGTTTGGTGCTCCAATTCATTCTTCCCTAATAAATTTGGTTTGTTTGGAATTTCGCGAAAAGCTATTCGAGGGCTATTTGTGCTGATCGTCTCTAATATAGCAGTGATAGACTAAAGGGAAGGTAACAAATAGTGAAATCGACCATCACATTATAACGCCCGCATAGCACGTTGAATGAAGTGGTTTCAAACCCGTAAGTCGATCGCCGTAACCACCAGGCCATGCTAGCCACCTTCATAAGAGAGAACATTGTAATTTAATGATGAGTGGGTAAAATAAATAAATTTAGGAATAAACATTTTTTATAGACATTTATAAACATATAAATATTTTTCCATTGGGCAGTTACGAAAAGCTGCCACTGGAAATAGTGTTCAAGCAACGTCAATTCTGGTTAAATTCTTAGTTCCCTACAATGCCGTCTGTCTTCAAGTCATTGTCCTTCAATAAGAAACACACTGTTTCAGGATTTTCACAGCACAAAGCTATTTAAAATTTCAAAGCTATAGACCATAGCAAAGGCGTCTTGTCAACCTCCCAATGTGTGTGTTACTTTTATCTGACGGAATAATGGGATTTGGACGACTTATAGTCCAGAATGTGGAGCACGTTACTGTTACTACATTTCTACAAATATAAAGCTAAAAACCAATAACTGCAATACATCACGTGATCAGTCTATTTTGCAAATGAAGATAAGTGCAGAAGTTAGGAGAGGTCACATGAAGTAACACATTGGTCAATGCCCATCTTCCAAGGAAAAGGAAAAAAATAAAGAGAATGAAAAATTGAAAGGTCAATAGCAGGAAACATCTGACTTGAGACATAGAAAAAATGTATATTGAAAAGCACTGAGGAGAGGAAGGTTGTGATTTCACAACTTAATCCCTCTGACACACCAAAGTGAATTGTGTTAATTTAATTTTCTCAGTGTAATGTACAAAGACAGAACTGCTCAAGAAGATCATCCAAGTTTGCTTGATAAAAAGCTTCTCATTGTGACAGGTAAAGAGAGAATAGTGTGATAGTGTGACCAATGAAAATAATGATAACATTGGCTTCCAATGGTATTGTAAGTAATTATATTTACTGAGGGAGAATGCTGGTCAACTAACATGCTACTCCACCCCTAATGAACCAATCCATCACACAATTTGTCCTTTCTCTAGAGTGATTACTGCCAAATGATGAAAGGTTTCAAGAAAGTCTCATGTAAGTAGATACACATAGCAGATATTAAGAATCAATGAAAATTTTGATGTCATCTAAATTCAGGCGATGACTTCGACAGTTCTACTGTGATGGTATGGCCATATTTGCCTATAATATATAGGAGAGTTATATTGGGAGCCATTTCGGTTTAATTTTGGACCACATTTATTGCAGAGAAGGTATACATGAAACCTGCCCTAAATAGAAGGCACATGTTCCCATTAGATGGATGAGATTCAAATCAGCATAGATAGGACGAAATAGTGGACTCGTACCTTGGAGTTGTTGTTGGTACTGTAATGTAGTAGACATTCATTTATCAATATACTTTCCCATGGAGCGTACGAAAGCCCTTAAGGGGCCAAAGAAATACTCTTTTAGGTAAAACAGAGACAGATGTCCTCCAACAGTGACAACGTTACTCCACTGTGGAAAGTGTTACCACATTCCTTTCCTCAGACGTTAATTATCTGATAGTGAAGATGGTTACACATATGTGGTCACGCGTTATAGAATCACTGCTTTCACATTGGAAGACAGACTTAGTAGTGTAAGCATCAAAGTGAGAACTTGTGTAAACTCAATTTTTTCATTCTTATGAGTCTCCTGACACATAATATGCCATTGTTGATTAGACTCTTCACGTATCATCATGCAGAACAAATGTGTTTAGATTCCAGAGACAGTAAAATATACAGGTGTAGCTATCTTTCGAAGGCCCTCCATAAACAAGGGTATGATGAGGATGACGCTTTTTACAATCACTTCTCTTTAGGAACTCAGAGAACTGTGTTTGTTTAACTCAATAAGTAAATCTCCAATTTT